GGGGGGGGGGGGGGGGGGGGGGGGGGGGGGGGGGGGGGGGGGGGGGGGGGGGGGGGGGGGGGGGGGGGGGGGGGGGGGGGGGGGGGGGGGGGGGGGGCGACCACATCACTGCCTGTGATGACACAATGCACACGTGCTTGTTTCCGCGTGCATACACGAAATCAAGTACTAACATGCGCCCGTTACACATACATCACCAACTGCGATGAAGCAATGCACAAGTGGTTGTTTCCACATGCATGAAAAAAAAAATAGTACGTACACTATTAAAACGAAGGCTGACGCAAGTTAAAGGTTCGTTGTCTCTTCTTCAGAAGGTTAACCCCCTCCCTCCCCGACGGGAAGCGATGTCGATAGAACATGTAGGGTTGGCAAAACAAATTCCAGTGCCTTTGGCAAAGTAGGAAGGAACGAAATGGCCATCGGTGATCGGTCCTGGGGCAACAAAATGGCGCGGTTGATGCCAACCCACGAAACACGGTGTGTGTGAAGAGCTTGGTTGATCGCCACACGCATAACTGACTCCAAAGCTAAGGCAAGCACCGCAGGGGGAACGGAAAGGTGAAACAGAAAAAAGAAAAAAAAGCGCCTGTGTGACCTTCCTACTGTGTGACGCCGGCTGATACGTCAGGTACACATGCAAAGGCCTGTAAAAACCGGCGCCAGAATACAAGGGGACGAACACACAAAGACGCACGTGCGACACAACACACACCTGCAGGATTTGTTGAAACGCCTCGGCCAGCTCTGGGGGCACCGTCATCTCCGGATCGGGATCGTGCCAGGACCCCACGGCGCGGCAGAAGCTTCCCAAGGACTGAAACAGAACAAAGCAAAGTTAACGTTTAATCGTCCCGTCCAGCCGTGCGACGTTTAACCGTGCATCGAGAGTACAATACACCGACAGAAAACGGGAGGGTTACGATGGCATGGGTTGCGGTCATGAGGGCCTCTGCAACATGGAGACTGTTTTCTGCGGGCGGGATGCTTTCTCGAGCGGGGTGTTTTCACCGGCGGCGGGGCGCCACCCCCTGCTCACACATGCCACCATCGCAACATCGACGAGAACAATCAATCCAAGGACAACAGCAACAGCAACAGGAACAGGAAAACAGCAACAACAAAAACAACTATGGTAAAGGACACCAACAGCAACCAAGAACGAAAAATACAAGAGCAACAACAACCTACTTTCAATTTTTGATGCTCGGTACTCACATCAAGGATGCCGGACGGGTTGTGCCTGATGACGAGGCAAAGCCCCTTAAACGCCGCTTCCTTTTCGGTCCGATCCCGAACCATCGTAAGGCCCTCACACCAGTCGCTGCAGTACCTGCATGCAACCAACACACGAAGACAGAGACAGAGACAGACAGAGAGACATACGCAGACCGACAGAGAAACACACAAAAAGAGGGACGGAGGGAGGGAAAGGGAGAAGAGAAAGGAAGAGAGGAAAAAAGGGAGAGAGAGGTTCATATTCCATCCGGTGTGTACCAAGTGGTGTGTGTCGTTTTCGTCCCATCTATTCCGGGCGCCAGTTGGGTCACGCAGGAGAAAGGTAGATCACTAACCAACACACCTTGGATGTTCTTGTGGGTGATGTTCAGCACGAGCTCATCACAAGATCAGCACAAGATCATCACAGGATCATAAAGCAGGGCGGGGGCGGGGGCAGCAACATGAAGACAAATTACCTTGCACGACAGAAACCACGGAACTTCTGATGCAACGTGACAAAAAAAAGGGTAAGAAACAGCTGTCAATGCAACCAAATTTCTAAATTTCTCGTTTCGGGAAGACTTACGAAGAAAAAAAACTGACTTCATAAACACGCGTCAAGCATATCTTAGCAAATACGGGCAAGGGTCTTAAGACAAACGGAGCTGGTCAACGGCGACGGTTTGGGGAAGATATAACGTACAATGCAAAAAAAAAAGTAACAACCAAACGCCTATTATTGCCCAGTATTTACGTACCTTGGCAAATCCGGGGCCAGGGTCTCGGGACATGCCGAGCCGAGCCGGCCCACGGTGATGCACACGTTCTCCACCAGCTTCGGGTCCGCGGTCTTCTGACCGATGATGTCGACCAGCCTCGACATGATCCCCGGCACCCAGGGCGCTACCACCTGGTGGCGGTGGTGTTCAACAAGTTCAACCATGACACGTCAACGGTAGCCGGGGGGAGGGGGGAGGAGGGGGGGTTGTTCAACAAACGCAACCACGTGTCAACGGCGGTCACTTCGAGGGGGCACCCAGGGCACGTGGAACAAAAACCACAGCAACAGGGGCAACCACAGGGGGAGGCAATGGAGGTGGCGGCGTAGTGGGGGTGGCATTAGAGGTGTCAACAGCATGGTTGACAGCTCGATCGTAGCAGGTTGGGGTAGGTCGTCCGGGTCATGAACGACAACAGAAAAAGAACCGCGCGGAGAACAAACAAACGACGACAAAAGCAAGCCACTCAACCAAGCGCCCATGAAGCCACGATGAAAATAATGTGCCACATGTGTTTAAAAAGAGACGAGGAAAAACCATCTATCATAGACACTAGATAAAGGAAATACGCCGTTTGTTTTATTTTACTTTAGTTTTGAGTGCAAAGACAGTTAAGACCGTGGAGCCCATCCCAACGCGAATTAACGCACCTCTCTGTTTACCGCGTTGGCAATCTCGCCGATGGCCCAGCTCGCGTTGTTGCAGACGTACAGCATCTCGATGGCGCTCGACAGGTTCCTTACCAACTGTTCCAAAAACTGGAGTTAGACACACGAGAGTAGTGAGGGGAAGGGGGGAGAGGCGGACATGGGCGGGGGGCACTCATAGTCGTGCATGCCGTAGTCGTTAGACCATTGACCTCGCATCCCTACAAAGCCGGGACGGAGCACGCCGGGTTCTCACCGGACCAGGCTCTCACATCACCAAGCGCGAAGCGCCGTGAGATATTCGGCGAGTCGCATGAAGGGTGCGCTGCATCCTGCTAACGGTGTTTGGCATCTTGTGCTTGCTTCGTTACGTACGGATGACAGCTGCGACTTAATTTATTTCCTGGTGCTGTCACTTCCAGAGACAGTTGTTAGCACTGTGCAACTGCCTCGAGGGTGCTTGACCATTTTAACACAACGTGGTGCGATCATCCCCCTTGCGCGGAGTGAGGGTTCTCCACCCCGCACAACAT